CATGTATCCCTTCTTATTTATTTATTTATTTATTTATTTATTTATTTTTGGATTGAATGAATGCTGATGTATCATTTTTGTAGATAAAGATCTATTTTTGGATGACTTTCTTGGAAAATAAAATAACCCAGTTGGGCTCATGTATCTTTTTTCACTTTTCTTTGTAGAATTACCATCCTTCAAGGGTACTTACCCTCGTTTATCAGCCTTTTGCGCTCGGAACAATGACCATTCTTGCTTACAACGAGGCCAAAATCGACACGAGGAAGAGGAACTTGTTTGGATACATCCTTTTCTGCATAAGCACTTTTGGACTTTTAGTGGTTAATGAGCTATCCTAGTCATCTTGTAACATTCTATTTTGAAATTTTCTGAATTTTTTTTTTTTTGGTCCCCACTATCTCTGATGAAGATATTTGATATTTGATCCTAATCCTCTGTTTGGTTTACTAGATAGATCTAGCCACCTCGGGTAAAGGAGGGATAGGAAATTATATCGGCGTTTGTGTTTTTGTTGCCGGTTTTGGAGTGGCCGATGCATTTGTTCAGGGCGGACTGATTGGCGATCTTGCTTTCATGTGTCCCGAATTTATGCAGGTAGCTAAATAATGTATTTCATTTTTTAGCTAATTTGGTAAAAATAAATAAACGGCTTTTTGCTTAATTGTTATTGGTTGGATATTTGCAGTCTTTTTTTGCCGGTTTGGCTGCTTCGGGAGCTTTAACTTCCGGCATGAGGCTAATCACTAAAGGAGCTTTTGATAAAACCGATAATGGTCTTCGTAAGGGAGTCAGTAAGTAACCTTTTTTCTTACAATTTTATCGTTTCTATATACTTTATATTTGTTCAGTTAATCTAATATGTAGCTCTATAGTCTCTTGATGATGTTGCCTCTGATTAAATCTAATAATATATATGCAGTTTTGTTTCTTTCCATATCGACATTCTTCGAATTCATATGTATTTTCCTATACGCATTTGTATTTGGGAATCTACCCGTTGTTAAACACTTCCGGAAGAAGGCTGCATCGGAAGGTTCCAAAACGGTCTCAGCTGATCTTGCAGCTGCCGGTGTCCAGACATCGGATGGAAAAAATGTAAAAAATTAAATATTTTTATTCTTTAAAACCTGCATTTCTTCAATAGTCTCGTAATTCCTTTTTTTCTTTTTCGAATTTCACATATATATATTTCAAAATAGTTTCTGTTACCACCTCAGATTGATGATCCTAAATACACCCGATTAAGCAACAAGGAGCTTCTCCTTCAGAATAAGGGTTACGCATTCGATCTTTACATTATATATGCGCTCACATTATCGATTTTCCCTGGATTCTTGTACGAGAACACGGGCAATCATCAATTGGGATCTTGGTAAGTGATAATTGCAAAGCATAATAACTCGAGTATTATAATGCTTTAGTTCATATAAAATTAGTCTTAATTCTTCATTTTAATTATGTCGAATCACACGTGGAAAACGAATCATTCTTGAATTTTTTTTTTTCCTTTCTATTTATAGGTATGCGGTTGTACTCATAGCAATGTACAATGTGTGGGATCTTATAGCACGATACATTCCCCTTATCGATTGCATAAGGCTCGAATCCCGAAAGGGACTCATGATTGCTTGCCTGTCTCGATTATTGTTCATCCCGTGTTTTTACTTCACTGCAAAATACGGAGACCAAGGATGGATGATATTTTTGGTGTCTTTCTTGGGACTAACAAATGGGTACCTTACGGTTTGTGTGCTAACTGTAGCTCCCAAAGGGTACAAGGTGAGTTGGAAAAAAATAAGGGCATTTGCCCAAAAAAAAAAACTACGAACTTTTTATTATTCGGCCATTGTTTTTAGTTTTTAATCTATTGATGTATTTGCAGGCGCCCGAGCAAAATGCGCTGGGTAATTTGTTGGTTGTGTTTCTACTTGGTGGGATATTTTCTGGCGTTGCTCTCGACTGGCTGTGGATCATTAATCATGGTTCGTTTTAGGGCAAACCGGGAGTTGTGTCTGCCGGGAGGGATGGAAGACTCGACTTTTGGGGTTTTCAACGTAATCTGGTTATTTTTAGCAATTTGTCGTTCGACATTATTCTTATCAAGTAATTTTTCATTTTCTCGTGGTTTATTGTAAATAGATCAGTTAATAAGTTAATAATTCTTCAGGTGGATACTCTCTTAATCTCTATATAATAAGAGTAATGCTATGGTTTTTTTTTTTCGTCGTCTCAATTGATATAATATGGCCATGGATGTTCTTTCTTCAGTTATTTCTACCCCTATTGCGATTTTGTGTGTGTGTGTGTGTGTGTGTGTGTGAGTAATAATGTTAAATGGTTATTAGTGATTAGTTTAAGATTGAAATTTTTATACCATTCCTAATGAGATACTAACTAATATAGAGTTCATGCGATACACGAGGTGCACAATTTTAAGGTCATTTATCCAGCCTTATAATTATATAAATGAATAAAGAAAAATGTACGGGATATATATAGTGCGTGACCTGTGCGAGACATGGGATATATTTATTTTGGGACTATTATACTATAAGATGCAATATTCAATAAAAATTTTTACAACACACGAAAATAAATATAAATAATGTAAATATCTAAATACATACACGATATGTAGAATAAATAAGTCAAATTTCATATCTGAAAATATAATTAAAAAAAATATGAAAATATATTTCACTAAAAATGTACAAAAATATCTAAATACGTACACGAAAATTAAAAAAAATTAAAATATATGTTTCAAATTTCGAAATTAAAACAAAAATTCAAATAATTTGGCTTACAATTTTATCATGCAGAACCAACTTGAGATATGGTTTGTGTGTGCTGCCCAGTCTTAAAAAAATATTTTCACAATTCGAACTTTGAGCATAAGTCTATTAGACATATTGACTTATTTGATTAACCTAAATCCTTGATTCATTGTTTTGAACAAAAGACTAATTGGGGATATTTTTTGTTCGCAAGAGGTTGACAGTGAGGAAGATGATTGTTCGATATTTTGAGATTTGTAATTTATAATGGGTAGAGTAGATATATATTCCCGAATCTGAATCTGAATATACAGAAATCGGTTTGAACAAAATCAGAACAGATTTTCATACAATTAGATAATAAATAAAGCTTTTTTTATTTTAGTAAAGATTTTACATACTTTTTTTTTACTTATCGAATGTTATGGGGTTTTTTTTGTTAAACCGATTTTATGAGATATAATACAAATACAATTAGAGGATTGAACAAAATCAGAACAGATTTCCATACAATTAGATAATAAGAAA